GGGGGGGGGGGGGGAGCGGAGGGGCGGCCGGCGAGGAGGCGCCCCGCGTGAGTGCTCAGTGTGCGCTGCGCGGCGGACGAAGGCGCACGTGGCGAAAAGGGCGGCACGGCGCCCCGCTCGGGTCTCCGGGCGCCGCGCCGTTGTCGCTCAATGTTCCCATGGCAACGGAGCATAACACACCGCCCGAGTTGCCGATTCCACGCCGCGCACAGTAGAGTACCTGTATAGCAAGAGTATGGACAGATCGCTTCATGTAGAGTCCCTTTATACCCAGAGTTAGGACAACTCACTTTTGGTTGGGCCAGGGTTGGGCTGAAAGTGGCCTAAAAAAAAATCCAATTCTGATTGGTTCTCGCTCATGGAGGCCGAAACGAGTGCACCAAGATGGCGGTACCTCAAATATGAAAAAGGATAATGAAAATATTACCTAATTGTCGTTTATCAAGAGTAAATTGTTATTTCCATCGGTCCAAAATGAAAATAGATTAAGAAATTATTCACAAACCAATCCCATTTTCTTTTTAATTGATCAATTTGTTGATGTTGTTTTTGTGTGACAGACATCACAGGATTCCTGATCCTTATCCCTCAATATCGTTCGTTTGGGTGCACTCGTTTCGGCCTCCATATGGCCAGCCAAGGCCGGCTGCCAGTCAGCTGATAATCGAGTTGTCTTAACTCTGGGTATAAAGGGACTCGAGCTTCATGGAGGTCTAAGGGCCCAAAAGTGCAGCCATCCGTCTAATCAACTTCTACCACACAACATTTCATCGCCAGTCTGCAGATTCTAATTTTCTAACCAAGATGGCCAAGAGTGTACAGAAATGAGCGTTCTTCCGCAAAAATGAGTAAATTTATGTAAAAACTGAGTCAAATCCGTGCTTTATAAACGACGGTTCGTAACAATAGTATTGGTAAATCGTTCTGGATAATTGAAATTCATAGGTTGGCTGCATTTCTGGGCCCTAACTTTGTTCGCAGAAGCATCGGTGCCTGATGGATTTTCGGAGTTTCACATCTGTCCATACTCTCGCTATACAGGTACGCTAGCGCACAGTAGATCGAGTCAATGGAGATGTCGCATGGGTGAGGAATTTGCGATTTGACTGTTGCTTTTCATGCAAAAGTTCGCGAGAAACACGATGGTGCCACTGGTGTTCTCTAAAATCCACTCCCAAGCTCAAAAAAAGCTCTCAAGTTGAGGCCAAAATGGAGGGATATCCCACCCAACCCTGAGAGTCCACGTCTACATCAAGACCAACTCTCCATGCAAAGATAGGGAGCAAATACATCAGCAATAATGCCGTGTTTTCAGTTTTAGAGTCCCCAAATAAAGTGGCAGCCCTGTCGATGTATTTGCTCCCTATCTTTGCATGGAGAATTTGTCTTGATGTAGAGATGGGCTCTCAGGGTAGCGTGGGCTATCCCCGGCCATTTTGAATTCAACTTGAGAGCTTTTTTCGAGCTTGGGAGTTAATTTGAGAGAAAACCAGTGGCACCATCGTGTTTCTCGCGAACTTTCACAAAAGAATTAACAGTCAAATCGCAAATTCCTCACACATGCAACATCTCCATTGAAAAAAAAACTCAAATCATCAGCTTGCGTACTTTATACTGTTGAATGCGGCAAAGTCGCTAACTCGTTTTTGCCAAAATTGTCAGTAAGAAAACTGTACGGAGAAACAAAACAGAGAACTGTTGGAATCGTAAAATTCATGGTTTCCTAACATTCGCACGAACGTACTACGTGGTTACTAACAATTACCGACATATTTGCTATCTACTAGTGCTGCAAGAAAAATTTAAAAATTCAAACATAAATAAAAAAAAGAAAACACTATTTGTTATGCTTCTTTTGATGGTATCAGCTGGCTGCGTGCAGTGAAATGATTAAAATAACAATTAGTTACGTTCAGTTGGGTCACGCAACTAAACTAACCTCCCGGCAAAGCGGGAGTATCGCCAGATTTGAAGGCGCCCTACGCGTTCGGTTGGGTCACGCAACTAAACTTACCTCCCGGCAAACCGGGAAAAGTTGCCAGGATTTGAAGGCGCTCTACGTGTTCGGTTGGGTCACGCAACTAAACTAACCTCCCGGCAAACCGGGAAGTATTGCCAGGATTTGAAGGCGTTCTACGCGTTCGGTTGGGTCACGCAACTATACTAACCTCCTGGCAAAGCGGGAGTATCGCCAGGATTTGAAGGCGCTCTACGCGTTCGGTTGGGTCACGCAACTAAACTAACCTCCCGGCAAACCGGGAAGCGTTGCATGGAGAGTTCGTCTTGATGTAGAGGTGGACTCTCAGGATAGCGTGGGATATCCCCTCCATTTTGGCCTCAACTTGAGAGCTTTTTTTGAGCTTGGGAGAGGATTTCAGAGGAGACCAGTGGCACCACCGTGTTTCTCGCGAACTTTTACGTAAGAGTCAACAGTCAAATCGCAAATTCCGCACACATGCAACATCTCTATTTTAGACTAAGACTGCAAATTTAGATGTTTATTTCATCATATTTTAAATCATGATAAGTGTTTCTAGGAGAAAATTTTACGAGGAATCCAATGGGACCACTTTTAAAACCTCAAATTTGTGCATGAACCGAGTAATGAGCTTTCGAAGTTTCAAAATTTTATGTCCGACTTCTCCTATTGACTTGTTCTATTGTACGGCGAGATCCCTGCCTCTCCGCCAGGGACACTACCGCCGTTCTGCCGTCCTAAGGAAGAACGCCGTATGAGCCTTCGTGCGTTGTCAAATTTCTTTCCGTCGA